AGTTCTCCCTTTGAACTCACTAAGAGATCAAAGGGAAATGCACTCACAAAGAGAACAAGGGGATAATTTTCATTCAACCAAAACTAAATTCTTACAATACATCATGCCTCATATAAGGAGGCTCAAAATAAAGAAAATGAAAAGACATAAACACCCTCTAGGCTACATAAGTAGAACAATGCCCTCAGGGGCAAACTAGGAAAACTAAAGAAGTACACATGACATAAGCTGTAAATAACTCAGAAGTAGAGGCTCTGGATCGTAGCCATCGATCTGCGCCGTCGGCGATGGTACACGTGTCGAAATCTGATGTCCCCATCAATAAGCCTTGAGGCGGTGCGAGGCGTAAGCCTCACGGACGAAGAATTGCGTAAATGGGAATTTAAGTATTCTAGCAGGTAAATAACACTAAGAGTCTATGATACAATAAAAACATCTAAATGAGAAGTGAACTTAATGGAAAACAATAAAATAGATGCAATATATGCATCTCATAGCATAATTCAAAGTAAAATCACAACTTGAAGTCTATTAAAAGTCAAAACTTCCAAAGTACAAATAAGAAAGAACATTTAAAATCCAATCATGTCTCATCACAAAAATTGCATTTCAAACACACGTATGTCTTCTCGCCACCGCCTACATCAACATGTACACTGTACTTCCAAGAAGGGTCCCTCCACAATGACATATTTGACTTTTCCTTTCCCCTAACCATGTTTCCTAATGCACAAATGCAAAATCAAACCAAAAATATCAAAAAACTTTAAACCCTAGATTTTATATAACTTGAAAAATCAAACATTGAATTAAAAAAATACCTAAAACCCATAGTAGAGGTGTCGTAGAGGGCGGCCGGACTCAAGTTGCTCACCGGCGGGAGAGGTGGCGGGAAGGCCGGGTGAGAGAAGCTAGGACGTGCAGAGCTCTTCCGTTCAGTTCGGGTAGGCGGAAAGAAGAGATGGATGAAATGACTTTTTTTTTAAGAAGTTAAGGCTTCGTTTGTTTTTTTGGTGCTTTTGTAAAAGACAAGTTTTAAAAAACATTAGTTCAGAAAATGGAGTTTTGTAACGGAGAAACATATATAAAAAGCTATCTAAAAACTGCAAAAAAATGAAAAAAAAGGAGTTATTGGGAACGTGATTTGACGAACCAAACAAAAAAAAATTCCTCCGTTTCCAAAAACGGAAAAGGCAAAAAAACGCTCAAACAAACAAAGCCTAAGTGTGTGGGAGCTCCATGAGGTGTAAGCCTCATCCAAAATTGCACAATTAAGCGTGCCTCAGGATCCATGAGGTGTAAGCCTCACTCAGACCCGAAATTGCTTAAGCAATGAGGCTCTTTAGGGTAGAATTGCGCAGAGGCGCGCCTCTTATTGCGCAATTTTAAACTATGCAAGACTTAAATATTTCTAATAACTTATACGAATTTTCTTCTACTTCCTAGTTGATTTTGCTAACGCCCTCCAAGAATCAATGTGCTCCTTACAACTCTTGATCTTAAAAATGAAAAGTAGGTCTCAAAATGCTAGAATAGCTATCAACCTTCTTAGCATGAACTATCCCGTCGTAAGTTTTGGCAACTCAAGCTTAATGCCTAGTCTGAAGGTAGTTGATTCTCTCATGAAAAGTCTTGCAAATGAACTTCTTTATCCTCCATCTCCTCCCCATTTAGATTAACACACATGTGAGATGGTTTCTCACATTGGTAAGTAGAATATCATGATTCGTCATGACTCTGCAAATGAACTTCTTTATCCTCCATCTCCTCCCCATTTAGAATATCTAGAATAGTTGATTCTCTCATGAAAACTCTTGCAAATGAACTTCTTTATCCTCCATCTCCTCCCCATTTAGATTAACACACATGCGAGATGGTTTCTCACATTGGTAAGTAGAATATCATGATACGTCATGACTCTGCAATGCTAGTTCTTGAATTCATTATTTTCCATTACAAGTAGAACATTTGCGCTCTAATTCTGGAAAGATAATCCAAAATTAAATGCAGGAAGTACCCAGAAGTTAGTTAAATGTTCCAAAAGTCCTGCAAGTAAGACTAGTAAAGAATTCTAGATAAGCCCTGGATAATTCCCATCCTTCAATTATTGTTATGCAAAACCTTCCGTTGAAATGATTGCAGTTTCTTTACCAACAAACAAAATTACTGTTCTGGAAAAAGTTTAGCTAACCAAAACCTTCCAGAGTGGAGTTCGATTGTTTGGAAGCTTTCCTTATGCGGACATCCGACGGTGGACATTAATCAAAGGAAGAGACGAAGATCGACGGCCGAGATCCATTCATTTTATCTTAGTTTATTAATTGTAATTTTAATTTAATTATGCATTTTCCTTTTTTTTACCCTTACTTAAGGGACTTGTTTTATGTAAGCCCAAGGGGCAAAGTTGTCTTTTAGTTTCTTTTAAGGCCTACATATAGAGGTCTTTTCTCTTTTTTTTTTTTGAAAGTTGCACTTGCATTAAGATGACAATAAGGAAAATACAAGAGAAAACCTACAGAGGAGCATCCACTCTATCACTATCCTCCCTTAGTAACGACAAAAGCGAGGGAGGAACATAGAGGTCTTTGCTCTTGTATTAGACAATGATGGATTATTAAAAAAAAAAAAGAATTAGAGCCTTTGACTTGATCTCTGTGTGAGTTCTGGAGAGGGAAAGTCCTATGGGAGGACAATCTTGTTTCCACCAGCCGCGGGATGGATCCAGGCTCGTGGATTGAAGTCCCTTGGGGAGGGCAACGTAGTACCCACCAGCTGTAGGAAGAGTCCGGGCTCGTGGTTTGTATCGTTTTTATTTTATTTTTCTCTTTGTTATTCGTCCTCTCATCTATAGTCTCCATCATTCACCATCCATTTTTGTTTTATTTCATTTGATTTTAGTTAACTTTTCTTTTGGATCAAAAATCAACCCCTCCACCTCCATAGTCGGCCGACCACCTCACCCCTAGCCTCTTCCATCCACAAATTTTGAATTTTGAATTCAAAATAGCCTCTTGATTACCTTCCTAAATTAGATTTTGTTAATTTGGAAAGTCATTCAATTTTGGATTCAAATAAATTTGAATTTCAAAACATTTCCAATTTAATAAATTCTACATTAGTGAGCCTCTCAAATTACTCACAATCTAAAATTAATTTCAGATTTAATTCGCCCATTACCATTTAATGTTTGATCCACATACATTGTATGTGGACACTTCTCCTCCCTCCCCATATGGTCGGACCCCTCTCTCACCTCCTCTCTAATTAATGCCTCTCCATTAAGGCCCTCAATCAACTCCAATCACCCCTAGTAACCACCGGTCCCCATCCCTCATCAAATCCCAATTAATCCCTTCAAAATTAAGGTGATTTGAAATTCAAATTTTCCCTCCACTTACCCTTTTTTTGAGATCTGAAATTAAATTCAGATTTTAATTATTCAAACCCTCCCCCCATATTCGTTCTACATCAGTTTGGTATCAGAGCATGGTTACCTGAGGTGCGGACTCGACGGAGTCGAGCTCTTTTCCACCCAGGGAGATTGATACGGACATCCGACAGTGGACATTAATCAAAGGAAGAGACGAAGATCGACTGTCGAGATCCCTTCATTTTATCTTAGTTTATTAATTGAAATTTTAATTTAATTATGCATTTTCCTTTTTTTACCCTTACTTAAGGGACTTGTTTTATATAAGCCCAAGGGACAAAGTTGTCTTTTTTTTGTTTTAAGGCCTATATATAGAGTTCTTTGCTCTTGTATTAGACAATGATGGATTATTAAAAAAAAAAAGAATTAGAGCCTTTATCTTGATCTCTGTGTGAGTTCTGGAGAGGAAAAGTCCTATGGGAGGACAATCTTGTTTCCACCAGCCGCGGGATGGATCCAGGCTCGTGGATTGAAGTCCCTCGGGGAGGGCAACGTAGTACCCACCAGCTGCAGGAAGAGTCCGGGCTCGTGGTTTGTATCGTTTTTATTTTATTTTTTCTCTTTGTTATCCGTCCTCTCATATATAGTCTCCATCATTCACCATCCGTTTTTGTTTTATTTCGTTTGATTTTGGTTAACTTTTCTTTTGGATCAAACATCAACCCCTCCACCTCCATAGTCGGCCGACCACCTCACCCCTAGCCTCTTCCCTCCTCCACAAATTTTGAATTTTGAATTCAAAATAGCCTCTTGATTACCTTCCTAAATTAGATTTTGTTAATTTGGAAAGTCATTCAATTTTGGATTCAAATAAATTTGAATTTCAAAATATCATTGTAAAAAGATGAGAGAGAGAGAGAGAGAGAGAGAGAGAGAGAGAATAGACGAGGAAAACTCAAATCTGATATTTCAAATTTGAAAATCTGACTTTAGTTGCATCAATTAACACCTATTAAAATCCTAACCAATTTCAAGAATCAAGGATCTCCTTAAATTCTAAAATCCAATACCAAATTTCCTAGGTACTAGGTAACCAAATCCTAAATACAAGGAGAGAGAAGAACAAAATACAACCCTAAGAGGGCTGACCCCACAAATGGACCTACTCTAGGATCAACTAGCTGACCCTAAGGGAATTAATTGGCTTTCTTAGTATGGCTGTCATCAGTCTGCTTCATTTAATTGGCTTGATAGACGACTAATTCAAGTCTTAAACAAATGTTATAACATAAATTCAATAATTCATTAATATTAAGCATCATTTCCATAATTTTATGTAAGAGATCAAGGAAAATGAGTAATATAAAGCTTGGCGAGTTCACTAGTTTTGAACATGACCTCGCTATATTAAATCATGCAATGTTATCAACTGTATAGAAAAAGAAGTGAAAAACTAAAGCTTCATTGGGGACGGCTTTTTTAATGCTTCTTAAAGCGGTTTTCTAATAAAAATTTTTAGAAGTAGGAAGAAAATCATCCCAAATGAAGCCTAAGTCTGCTGATTCGGCAAGCACTGAGCATAGCACTACTCAGTAAAGAAAGTTACCCATATGTTTTCAAATTAAAATACCTTTTGGGAAGCTGAGAAGATAGAAGATAGCCTATATTCCACCCATCCATCGCCATCTTTAGCTTGATGATACTGAGAACAGTCCTGATGCCCACATATATCATTAAAACATTTCAAGTAAAAAATAATATTCCCATTACATAAGAAAAGAAATATCAACGTGTTGCGTTTAAATTTAACCAGACCTGGCACCACCTAGCACTGGATTTACTTCTTTTGATGCAAATCCAAATATGCGAGTGCCCACATTTTGTGCAGTCTATGCGCCTGGACTCTTCCGAATGAAAATCAACACCATCCTGCAATACATGCGAACAAGCACTGCATATATTTTCTCTAGATCAAAAAAGAAGAATATATAAAAATGAAGAGTCAAATATCCACAGAAAATAACAGGTGGAAATTAGATGGAAGTGGGAAATTATAAAAAAATTCAACACCAATAAAACAGCATTGCAATGCAAATATACCAAAGTATTCCATATCAAACAAATTGATAGAAAGATGAATATTGGGATTTCAATCATTCCTTAAAATATAAAAAACCCTTGTTAAAATAACAGAGAAGAAGCTAAACCTGTCTAGAGGAGCTGCAAGATCGTTGAACCACTCTACCAGACTCTTCTTTCCTCAATTGCTCATCATAATTTTTCTTCTTTGTAAAATCTGAAAGAACCTGGCAAATAGCGCATTTTAAGTTGTAGAAGAGATCAGATACCATTTTCAATTACAATCAAAATATGTAGAGCAGCAAAAAAAAAGGGCCAATGAGCATCAAGGCTTCAATTTTTAGGTATAACTTGCCTCATAAGCACACTGTAGCTTCTTGAATGATTCACTTGCTAATGGCTTTCCCATATTCTTGTCCGGATGCACAAGCATAGCCTACATATGCAGCTATCTAGTTTATTTCTTCAAAATAATAATTGATTTCCATTCAGTAAAAAAATTATTAGAAATATACAATGCACCTTTTTGTAGTATTCCTTTTTTAACACAATGGGATCAATACTATTCCTGCGGGGGAATCCCAAGGCTTCATAATGAGTTGAACTATTCATTATCCTCTTCATTTCATCATTTGAAACCGAATCAGTTTTTACAACTTTACTTGAAGAAGCATCTTTCTGGACACCTAGTAAACTTGATGTAACAGAATTTTTTACAGTTGATTTGCTTGAAGCCACATTACTAGCCTCTGATGTATGAGAAAAAAATTCAAATTCGCTAGGATAATCTTCTACGAGTGGTTCGGATGCCTTTTGTTCCTCAAAACTTGTGCCTTCAGTGGCACAATCGTATCCTTGGAGTAACTTAATCAGAAGATCATTAGAAATAAAGGAGAGATTCATGGAAAGGAAGATCCCAGCCCATCCAACATGAGCATGGACAAAGTACAAAGCATATGCAACTGAAATGAATACAAGACCCCGTGCACGACTTAAGGAGAAAGCATAACCTGCATTGTATACAGGGAGTTGTTGAGTATTTGCAGTATCTTGGAGGAACTAATAGCTCACATGATGTGTAGGAACTAGGAAGATATTGCCATGTAAAACATAAAGAAATAATATGATACCTCCGACTATTATCAGCACACCTGCGGTCCAAAAGTTACTGTATTTCCACATGATCATAATGCCAAACAAACCAACCATAAAGAGCCCAGGGGTGTAACCCAGAAAGTAAATAGAGGCTCCAGCAGCTCCCTGCGACAGTAAAATGCTACGTCAAATATACTGCATATATTAAATTGCTTGAACTTCTTATTCAGACCATAAGTTTCCATCAACTAGTAAAAATATTTAAGCAGGAAAACTGCATCTTCTTCAAGCAATAAGCTTTAAGCTAGCTAAAATAAAAAAAAGAGAAATAAATACGGAGCTAACACACACACATTTAATTGTTAGCATCACTAGACGTAGTGCCAGGCCAACAGAAAATTTTACCAAGACCTAATATATAGAAGAAATAAAGTAAAAGAGTTAAATTTCAAAATAATTTCCTCACTATTCGTATATAGTCATTTTAATCCAAAAATATAACATTGCACCAATTTAGTCCATCAACTATAAAAAATTGAATCCAAAATGACCGCTTGTGACTAAATTGGGATCAACTTTATATTACAATTACAACATGAAGGACTATTTTGTATCAATTTTGTATAGTCGGAGAACTAAATTGGGGCAACATGATACTCTGGGCCTAAATTGGTCATACATGAATAGTCTTGGGACTATTTTGAGATTTTTCTGTAAAGTAATATATCAACGCAGCATTAGGCTCAACAATACAAGTTCATGTAGCAGATTCTGATAGACCAATGATCAACATCAATATTACATTTCACTTGAGTCAAATAGCTCAAAAATTAACAAAGCTTGTTTAATTAATGGAAGAAACAAAAAGAAAACTTCGCCATTAACATGTCAGAGTTGTGAAAACCCTTATTTTTCATGACTTTTTTTTGACCTAGAGCAGTCTAAAATTATTTTAGGAGTCATTGTAACTCCAAATCACAAACCGTTTTCATCGTAACAAAAATATTATAGTGTTTTAGCTTCCCTAATTTTTTAAAAATTTTTTGAAATTTTAAATTTCTTAAGAAATTGGCACATGACGGTACAAGTGTGATTTTTTAGACCGTCAGGTGTCAGTTTTGCAAACAGATTTCATCAAAATTTTCTAATAAAATGACCTATTTAATGGATATTTTTATATAATTTCTAAAATCCCTAAAAGCATTTATATAAATTTTATAATAAAAATTAATTATAATATTATTATTATATTATCAATTTATATAAAAACAAAATATCTTAAATCACTTACTCTCCCTATTCCCAATTCATTTTGTTTCCACCAAGTAAGAAATAGCTAGCAGAGGAAAAAAGATGGGGAAAACGAGAGGACAGATAAGAGGGAAAAATCGATTTTGGGCGACTTCGAGTTGTTTTCGTTCATAGGCATTGTTGGGAAATTGAGCTAGGTCACATTACACATATCTCAATTTTGAAAAACACAAAGTTTTTATCCAATTTTCTGATCAAAATTTTATTTATGTTAGAGAAAAAAAGGGGATAACTTTGTACCAGCAAAACTTTCACCGTATAACTTTTTATATGTTATAGAGATTATGATTATGTATATTTTGAATATTTTCTGAAAATTTTCGAAAATGGGTTTTGAAATTTGTATGATTTTTATTGAATAAAAAATTATCTGGACGTTGAAAAATAATATTTTAGTACAATAAAATTCTTAAAACATTATTTTACACATTAAGTGTTAATTTGATTATTTTTTAAAAATATGCATATATAATTAAATTATAATTGTTCAGAATTATAAAGAACCAGAATCCTCTAAGATTTTGTCTGTGTTAGGAAATTGCTAGGAGCTATACAAAGGATTCTGTCTGAGATAGAGATATGCGATATATTCTGGTGTTATAAGCACACAAAAAGTCCTAATGGGTCATAATCCTTTGAGGTTTAATTTGAATCTGAGAAATGTGATATGAACAGCTCTATGATATACATTGCAATTTATTTATCTGCTCAGTATTGTTATTTAAATAAATAGATAATTGTTATGCACTTATTATATTTCAGTACAGTGATTTATTAGACTATATTTAACTGCTTTTAAATATTCAACAAAAAGTTTAACAAAAATATTTGAAAATTTATATTGATTTGTGTGATCTGCTGAGTTGTTGTAGCTCACTGTAATTTTGCTTACGGAAGAAAATGAGATTGTGAATTAGTAGTTTAAGATAAGATCTAAATTTATAGATATTTCTCTTTGATTTTTGTACAATCATGGCTAGTTTATTATTCAGTCATGTTCCATAGCTTCTGCATGTATCCATCTACTGTTGTTAGATACATTTTGATTAAATGAAAGAAATCTTATGAATAAATTTATTGTAAGTATTTGGATGTGTTAGTGGCTCTGTAGTCTATAATTATTTAAAATAAATAGTGAAAGAGAATCTAAACCATAGTTTAAAATTGTGCAATAAGAGGCGCGCATCTGTGCAATTTTACCCACAAGAGCCTCATTGCTTAAGCAATTTTGGGTCTAGGTGAGTCTTACGCCTCAAGGCGCGCTTCAAAGGCACAATTACACAATAATGGGTGAGGCGCATGCCTCATGGAGCCGGGTCCCATGCACTTCCCTTCCTTCATTCGTCCTACCCGAACCGAAAGGAGGAGAGCTCCGCAAGCCGCAATCCGCGCCCTAGCTTCCCTCGACTAACCTTCCCGCCTGCCTCTCCCGCCGGCACCGCCTCCCGCCGGTGAGCATCTTGTGTCCGGCCGCTATTACATTTAAAATAAAGGTATCTCACAATTTCATATGTGCTATTACATTTAAAATATATGCAATTAACAGCATACTAATCATTCTTATTGAACAGAAAAGAGAAAAGTGGGTAATATTGAATATGATAAAGATTTGACATTCATATACAATTGGAGATGAAGATGCCTCCCTTGAAGACCCATTTAATGATGAGAAATGATTGAATTTTAGATGTTCTTTCTTATTTGTACTTTGGGAGTTCTGATAGACTTCGATTTGTGATTTTATAATTTGAATTATGCTATGAGATGCATATATTGCATCTATTTTATTGTTTTCCACTAAGTTCACTTCTCATTTAGATATTTTTATTGTATCATAGACTCTTACTGTTATGTACCTGTTAGAATACTTAAATTCTCATTTATGCAATTTTTCGTCCGTGAAGCTTACGCCTCACACCGCCTCGAGGCTTATGTCTCACCTCACGGACGAAAAACACCTCCATGCTTATTTACGCAATTTTAAACCTTGATCTAAACATTCCAAAATAAGATCTTGAGATTTTACTGTCACAGCTCAACAAGATAGTACATGTCCTAAGGGTTGGGTTGTGTCAAGCTTTTGTGATGTCAAAGCAATAGTTTTGAAATTGGATCATAAAACAGAGCTATAGAAATTGAACTATAAGTCTAGTGGGATAATTTTAAGTATGTCTGGTTGTTTATTATTTTGTTTTATTTGCGTGTATATTCAATTGCATATTCAGTATGATCTGGATCCACCAGACCCATACATGACAAATGGACTGAGTGCTAGTCAGGCAATTCCTATATATAGTACTGCTCCGATAGTTGGTTAAGACATAGTTTCATAGTTTGCTACTTTAATAGCTCAGATGATGACTAAGGCACATGGTAGGGTTTCTGCTGTGAGATCTGAAGAGATAGACAGACATCTGCATATGATTCTAAGATTGAAGCCACTGAAATTCAATTGTACTGTTGAGCCCATAACAACAAAGGACTAGTTGAGGAGGCTGGAAAAGACATTTGACAGTATGCAATATCCTCATAAAAGGAAGGTATCGTTAGCAGTCTTTCTGTTAAATGGTGAGGCATAGCGCTAGCAAATTTAAAAAAAAAATAATAGATTTACACAAGGAGACTCCATATGAGGTGGACAATCAGTATCTGCAACAATCTCTAGCAGTGGCAGCATAACCAATTCTGGTTATGTTAGTGGGGCATCTGTGTGCCAAAGTTATGAAAGACATCATTCTGATCAGCGCTACAGGATGACTGGAAAGTGCTTCAGATGCAATTAGATAGGGCACCGAGTAATAGAGTGTCCAGATGCAGGATTGGACTAACGTTCTGAGCCAAAATCTAAGAGTTTTGTCAGATCGACAGGGAGAATGAGAATAGTTCCTATTTATACTTTTTCTGAGGGATCATCTGATAGAGCTAGTGGTTCTGCTTCAGTGGTAGTGGCTAAAGAGAGTCTAGTAATTCTGTTGCTCGAGCTTCAATTTAGCCGCGTGTATACATTTTAACTCAGCAAGAGGCTCGTAATGCTCCAGATGTTGTGACATGTACAATTTACATTTATGAGCATCCATGTCATATTTTATTCGATTTTGTAGCAAATCATTCTTTTATTTCTGCGCATTTTTTCGATTTACTGCACTTGCCTTCAGTTGTACTGTTTGTTTCTCTTTATGTTGTTTTACCGATTGGAGATGGTATGATAGCCAGAAGATTTTGTTTCTGTGATATTGATATTTCTGATAAATAGAAATCCAGTTTGATTTTTTTATTACCCATTTTCTCATATGATATTATGTTGGGTATGAATTGGTTGAGCCAATATGGGGCTCTTATTGATTGCTCGAAGAAGCAAGTTACCTTATTTATGGGCAGCGAGATTTATGTATTCCAGGGCGTTAGAAGTGTTTTATCATGTCTGATTTCCACTGTGGAAGTAGATAAATTATAGAAGAAGGGTTGTATGTTATTTTTAACATCAGTTCGAAATAGGAATATATATGATGATCTTCAATCTAATGTCTCGATATTACAGGAATTTTCGGATATATTTCCTAAGGACTTAGTCAGTTTGCCTCCGAATAGAGATAGAGTTCTGTATTAATGTATTTTTGCCTTTTCGGTATAGCCCTAATATCCAAAGCTCTGTATAGGATGACGCCTAAGGAGCTTTAGAAGTTAGTTGATAAAGGATTTGTTCATCCTAGTGTGTCCTTATGGAGAGTACATATTTTGTTTCTGAAGAAAAAAAAAAGATAGTACAATGAATATGTGTATTAACTAAATGGAGTTAAATAAAATCACTATCAAGAATTAGTATCATCTACCACGGATTGACGATCTATTCGATCAACTTGCTGGATCTTTTATATTTTTAAAGACCGATCTGCGATCTGGTTACTATCAGGTGAAGTGAGAAAAACTAATGTGACGAAGACAGCTTTCAGTATTTGGTACGTACACAACAAGTTTTTGGCCATACTATTTGGAGTGACAAACACACCAGCCATCTTTAAGGATCTAATGAACAAAATGTTTAGAGATTTTCTAGATCAATTAGGGCTCCTTTGACCTTGATAGAGGTGGGAGATAGACAGGCGATAGGTTCAGTCTTTGTAGATGAACAATATCAAAGATCTTTTTGATCAGAGAAAGGTTGAAATCTGCACATAATAGGCAGAAGAAGTACTACAATAAGAAACACAGGTTGGTTGAGTTTCAGATTGACGACCTGATTTATGTCAAAGTTAGCCTTATAAAAGGTTTTAGAAGATTTGGGAGAATCAGCAAGCTCAGTCCAATAAACATTGGACCTTTTTCAGATCATTGAGCGGATTGGTAGTTCTACTTATAGGTTATTATTACATCTTCATATGTTCAATATACACAGTGCATTGCATGTATCTTCTTTGAGAAAGTGGATATCTAATTTTGAAAAAAGATTATATGTTGATGATATTGAGGTTTGTCTGAATCTATAGTATAGAGAGGAACCAAATAAAATGTTGACATATAATGTGAGAAAATTGATGAGCAAATAGATTTCTATAGTCAAAGTGCAGTGGAAGCATATGACAGTTAAAGAGGCTACATGGGAGAAGGAATCAAATATAAGATAGTTGTATCAATGTTTATTTTGACTCATTCTGATTTGAAAATGTCGATGATGATATTTTTTTTAAGGTAGGTGAATTGTGAAAACATTTATTTTTTTATGATTTGTTTACCTAAAACAATCATAAATTATTTAATGAGCTATTATAACTCCAAATCGCAAATCCTCTTCTCCGTAACATAGATATTATTGTGTTTTGGCTTTATTAATTTTTTCATAATTTTTTGACAATTTTAAAATTCTTTAAGAAATTGACATCTGTCGATATAAGTAGCATTTTTGGGACTGTTATGTGTCTATTTTGCAAATCGATTTCATTAGAATTTTCAAAATAAAATGAGCTATTTTATGGATATTTTTTTCTATAATTTCTAAAAATTTTAAAAGTATTTTTATGAATTTTATACTGAAAATTGATTATAATAATATTATTATAGTATTAATTTATATAAAAACAAAATATCTTAAATCACTTATTCTCCCTATTCCCTATTCATTTCGTTTCCACCAAGTCAGAAACGACTAACAGAGGAAAAAAAAGAAATAGGAAAAAATAGATGAGATAGAATGAGGAAAACTCAATTTTGGACAACTTCGAGCCGTTTTCGCCCGTCAGCCCTGTTGGAAAACTTGTTCATCTCGAGATAGGTTACAATAAAAGTCTTAAACTATTGTTTTACACATTCCCTGATAGTTTGATTATTTTCTGAAAATATGAATATGTGATTAAATTATATCTGTTAGGAGTTATAAGTGACCAGAATCCTCTGAGATTCTATTTGTGTCAAGAAATTGCTAGAAGCCATAAGGGGCAAGGAATTCTTTGAGATCCTATCTAAGACAAGGATATCTGATGTATGGTGTTATAAACACAAAAAAGAAGTCATAAGAGACCAGAATCCTTTGAGATTCTATCTAAATCTGAGAAATATGATATGAACTGCTTTATCATATGAATTGCAATTCATTTATCTGCTTATTTTTGTTATTTAAATAATTAGATAACTATTATATTCTAATTACATTTCAGTACAGTGATTTATTACACTGCATTTAACTGCTTTTAAATATTAAGTAAAATATTTAATAAAAAATATTTAAAAATTTAGATTGGTTTGTATGGCCTGCTGAGCTATTATAGCTCACTATGATTTTGCTTTTGATTTTCAAGATCTAGGAAAGGGAAGGAGATTGTGGATTAGCAGTTTAAGATTAAATTTGAGTTTAGGTATTATCTTTTAATTTTTGTACAATCATGACTAGTTTACTATTTAGTCATGTTCTGTAGCTTCTGCATGTAGTCATATATTATAGTGTTGATATATTTTTATGAAAAGAAAGAAATATTGTGGATAAGTTTATTTTTAGTATTTGGATGTGTTAGTAATTTTGTAGTCTGTAGTTATTTAAAATAAATATTGGAAGATAATCTGAACATTCCAAAACTAGATATTATGATTTGTCTGTCACAGCTCAACATGATAGGACCTATCCTTATCGGGTTGGGTTGTGACAAGAGTTGAATGTTAACCCAACCTATGCTTAGTTGCTTACCATAAACAATCTAAATGTTTTATAATTTTCTAGGGGTATTAGGCCATAAAACCTTATCAAAATGTTTTTTAAAGATCATGCAAAAACTTCCTCTATAAAATACATCCATGTCATGTTGGCTCACTTTGGTAATGACTAGTCACACCATGACATTGGATATCATTTCACAAGTAGTTCAACCCAATATCAATCAACTAAATTGTGGTCATCGAGATGCACTACAAATCTGTATCAAATAGAGCCTAGGTAGGCAAATCATATCAGAAATTGAAATTCAGTTCACTAACTATAATCCCTCTATATTGCACGAAGATAGCCCCCGGTGCATATTAGAAACAGCATAGAGCGATTAAACTATAACTGAAAGCCGAGAGTTGAATAATCAGCATACTTAGGCTGAAAGTGTGGTCACTTTTGCAAAATTTAAGTTCCCAACTAAATCCCTGCCATGATTCACTTTAAGGTGAATATGAGTTCGGTAATCGAGCAATGATTTTAAAACAAAACTTGAATAACTTCTGCACTCAAACAGCCTTGAAGTTTATAATGCAGCATATATCAACTTTCATTAACTAAATACAGAAGTAAGCAAACCATTAAAGAGAACAACTTATTGCTATTACAAGTATCCTTAAATTGCCGCAATGGAATAACCGAGGGATCCGCAATGAACACTAAAATATGTCTACTAAATAAGAATTCCTGATTTCCATTGGTTTAGTTCAATTGGTTTCAATACAAAATGAAGTTCTTTACTGAATATATTTCTACATTTCAAGTAGAAAAGGATTTGTTTATAAGAAAGTTTATATAGAATTCTTCACTAAATTTTAATAATTAAAGTGATAATACAACAAATTACTGAGGTGTTTCTCGTCCTTTAATCTTGCACAAATCCGATACACTGCATTCTAATTAACACTACTGCTTATTTATCTTCATTAAAGAGAGTTATCAAATAAGTAATAAATACCAAAAAAACCCTGCATAAGCCAAGTTATAATATCAAAATTTTTGTGGTGATAAAGAGATATATATGAGTCTTATATCCATGCAAACATCAACTTTGATGAACAAATCAAAGTAACAATTCCAACAAGGTGATCCAATTATATAAATAGCTCCGTGCATACCTATTAACATTTTAGCGCCCGATAGCCGATTCGGTCCCAAAGTAAGTAATAAGTAGTCATTACAAAAGATGAGGAAAAACCTGGATTTTCTTTTTACAATCAAAGATGTAGATATGATACCATTATTTGGAATAGCATAACCATTTTATTTCCCACCCTTTTTCTCAATCTATAAAATTTGATTTATAATTTCCCCATGTTTTTTTTCCCAGGTTGAATTTTAAAACCCATACCAATATGTCAAAAAAAAAATTATTATATAGTAATTATGGATAAAAAAATGTAGAACAACAAGAAATTTGTTGCTTAGAATTTATGCCATATGAAACGTCTTTGAATAGGTAAACATTGGCTACTGAAGAATCAAGACATAATGTTGTAGCAAATATGAAGGAAGGTTTACAAAACAATGAAGCATCAGAAAAAAAAAATCCGCAACAAGTTCAAAGCTGGAGAACAAGAAGAAGTCAATGCCATACAATGCTTGAAACTTATAGAAAAGTAATTATCTTCAGCTGAGCTTGAGAAGGCTACATTAATTAAGGACATAAATCTTGACAATAAACTGGTGAATGCTGAGAAGGGAATTGACCAAATAAAACATTGGAATCAATATTTAAAATTCCATTAAAGACTTAACTGGAGATCTTAAAACTTAGAACATACAAAATTCATGAAAACACAGCAAGCAACATTTCAAATGACAAGAAAAAGTTTATAAGAATAACCCAAACTTAACTAGAGTAGAATGAACTTAGTGCTTCTGGAAAATAAAGTCTCTAGTGAGTAATCATAAGATTTTCTTAAATGGATTAAAACAAGGTAGATCAAATCTAACCTACACAATAGCAAGCCATTGCCAAGATGATCATTATCAAGGAATTTCATGAAAATCCATCACACAAATTCACATTTTGTAAATTTCACAATCTTAGATATCTCTAAAATGTTATAGAAACAAATGCATCTGAGGCAATGACAATCTCAATCAAGTAATTAAACATTACTGGAAACTGGATGAATTTAGCATAATATAGACTTGAACATCGGTTATACAAAATAAGTCGGAAATTATTCATTTGAGAAAGTAAATCAAACTTTAAGATTCCCACAAAAATGCCAATCCTTGCAAAAAAGGTCTGAAGGCCATGATTAAAGAGATAATTCAAAGTTTAACTAAAAAATTTGAAATAAACAAATAGAATCTCAAGATTCATGAGATAAACATAAAAGAAACCTGTCAATAAATTAAGACGTAGAGATAAAGCTTATTCATCTAGTTGGGTATAAAGAGCAACAAAGTAAATACAAATTCATAGCATTTAACTGCGCAACATTCTAAGAATAGACAGCTAACCAGGCTCAGAAGCACATAAAGAAGGCAAACTGTTGATGCCAAGCTAAGAAAGGAACTCCAAAAAATCACAAAGAGTGCTGCTGAACCAAGAGCAATCAGCGATGTAAAGCCCCTAACAATACAATCTCTCCATAGCCAAATCAGCTTCAACATAAATTTCCCCAGGTTCAAACTCCATCTACACACCAGTGGCCAATGCCGATCAATTAGAAAGACAAGCCTGTCCCTTATGCAGCCCAGAGCAACTTGTGTTCCCTCAAAAGCCTGCTTCTGAGATTCCAAGCACTTCCATCCTTGCCTGAACAGCCCAATGTCCCCCATATATGTAACTTTAGCCACACCAACAGAAACTCAAACTAATCGAAAGAAACCCCCTTTCCACGAAAACAAATAAACTGATAACATTTCCATCATAGGTAGCTCAAAAAGCACTCCTTCAAGTAATAGTATCGGAGCTTTCAGCGCAGGAAATAGAAAGCCAATACCTACCTTGATTCCTGGGTAGTTTAATATAACCGAGTCACAAGAAACAGGAAAAACCAATCAAATATCCACCAAATCCGATCAACTATCAAACCAACCATCCAACAAACTGACAAAACAGCTCCAACAATTCAAGCAGATAAATCCAAATCCAAAACAAAAATTTCTACGAAGCTAACCCATTCCCTTGCAGCAGTGATCGAATCCCCATATCAGTCCCGATAGTATAGCAACACCTCCACAACCCCGACGCAGCGATAACTACTACACATGCTACGAATACGTCCGGCTCTCCCTTCCCTTTTCAGCACCCACCGGAGCTCCAAACAGAGATTAGCATTCTCCGGCGAGTCGACCGGCGACACAGCAAGGGCCTGGAAAGACAGTACTTCGGGTGAATGCCGACAAGTCAGACATCCTCCATAGCCCTATTAAAAGCAGACCACGCGAATCCGGCGAAACCCTAGCTTTTCTTTTCAGGCACTGCTCGTGAAAAAGCAGCCTGACCGAGAGATAGAGGGCAGTGGCTTCTTACGAAAAGGTATGGATGATCTAATTAATCCAGCAGTGGAGATGCCAGAGAGAGAGAGAGAGAGAGAGAGAGAGAGAGAGAGAGAGAGAGATTTACATTTTACACGCTTGTTTTGTGTTGTAAGCATCGAGCTGTGGTTTGTTTTTGGGCTTTTGCGTGGGAAGAATATTTGAAGAAGCTGTAATTGTAAAACAACTGATATTTCGGGGTTTTTCTTTATTTACAGAGTTTTTCAATTATAAAATATTTTTTATTTGCTCCATAATTTTTAAACTTTATGATTAAATTGTTTGAATTAGAAAGAATCCACTTAGGCTTAGGGTGGTTGGTGGGAGAGATTATTGGGTTCGGACATCGGACACAGCTTACGTTTGGTACTTCACAATACCAAACAGTATTGAGCTCAGTACTATGAAGTATTGAGTACCGAGCAGTACCAAGTAGGAGGTGATGTGGTGCATTTTCATTGGGCTCCGAACACGTCCGGTATCCAAACCCAACAATTTGCCGGTTGGTGGGCAAGCACTATTGGGAATGCCATCCCTGATTCAAATCCCCCTACTGCGACCTCTCATTTTCAATGCGGCAAAACAAGTGTTGGCCTAATGCCGATGGGTGACCTCGTTAGATGTCGCCGAGGGATTAGTTACGCTGTCAAGCGATCTCTTTGAAGTGACAAAATGTAGATATCCCCTTCCCAAATAAATAATAAATAATAAAAAATAATATAAAGAATTTAGTTTCACCATGTAAAAATAAAAAATTAAAAAAATATATCAATATCTTAAAATTAAATTCTCTTACACCATATTTATGCTGACATAAAAAAAAAAGAAAATTGCGGGTTGAAAATACCCCTGATAATCCTGCAAAAAATCACAATAATAAAATCACTAATTCATATTTTAATAAAAATTAATGGGATCTAAAAGGATTAGTTCTTTCATGAAAAAAAATATATATATATAAAAACAAAGGTATTACATTTATGTACTATTTTAATATTTTTTATGCGATGGGAGACATAGTGCTCTATATATTTTATTTTATTCTGTTATTATAAATTACTGTAAAATTTTATTATGTTTCTTTAATAATATTATATTACGGATAATTTATTTAATACAATGCTTTTCAATTCTGACAATTAATTTTTGTATTTAGGAGCATTCATTTTTTTTAGTGCTACGATTGAGTAATCAATAGGCAGTAGCTAAGTACAAATCTTTCTGACCTGAACTAAACAATTTTCAATAGAAATTTTTCGCATCTTGCTTTTGCCTTTTCAAATTCCCAAAAAAAAAAAAAAAAAAAAAAAAAAGCTTTTGCCTTTTTTAATATCGGAAGTCCTATCAAAGGAAGCCTAATATTGTAAACTTGCAACTTAAAAAATTTTAGTGGAATAATTTTCTTCTTGTTTTTAAAAATAATTTTTTTGATATAAAATTTTTTTAACTACAAATTTTGATATTAAAATATTATTTTAAAAAATAACACAAATAAAACATAAACTCCCAAATTCTAATAGATGGGCTGCATCTGAATTTTCTCTTCAAGAAAGAGGAGAAATTATTCTGTGCGGTCATCGAACATATTCGGAGGCGAATCAGAATGCGTCACATCATTTTTTTATTGTGCACTGATACTATATATTGGGTGACGTGAGACATTCTATTTCTCTTTCGGACAGTCTGATAACCGCACATAATAATTTTTCAAGAAATATAGGAAAATCTTTAATGATTTAGTTTTCTTTCCTCTAATTAATGCACGAATTTCTAGAGGAGAGTGGGGTTTGAGTGTAAATGTAGATGTAGTAGGTGACCAATAATTAACTAAAATATAATGAGAACTTACATTAAAAAAAATTAATAACTGATTTTATATCAAATTTTTAGAATTATTAATTGTTGCAATAATATATGAATAATTATTTGATTACATATATTAAAATTGATATATTAAATTATGTTTTCTCTTATTTTCTATATGATTATGAATGTTGTCAGTTCTATAATGCTTAAGTCCCAACCAAAATTTATTAATATATGGTGAAAAGGTTAGCCCAATTTAAACATTTTACCGAAACTCCAAATATTCTTCCTATTTTCTATTTTTATTTATTTTGTCTGTTATTATATTTTGAAGTGAAAAATATTTTTTTTCTACGAAAGATGACCTAATTAAGCTTTGATTATAAAAATTTTAAATTTCTTTTCATGTACTTTATTTTTTATTTATTGGGTGATATAAAATCAAAGAAATATATTCCAATCAATTTTGATTGAAAAATTAAAAATTCAAAAATTAGCTCAACCACCTTTTGATATTTAATAAACTTAAAAAATAAATAAATCCTTAGACTTCAACAGCAAACTTTGGCATTATTCATTTTAAAATATTTATATGGATCATTACATTTATTTCATCCACCAAAGAAGTCAGAACATTTATGGAGAAGTTAGGGTTTTATTCCCATCAAGTCAAATCTAAACTAAACACAAATTCGTTGAATTTTGAAATTAAATGTATTATAAATTATTTATTAGGAGTATTGATTGAAACCTTTTTGTATTTATATTGATAGTATGGTATTTATTAAACTCAAAGTATTAAAATATAATTTGTATAGGAAGTTCTAGCATATTTGACTGTTTTTACCATTAAATTATTAGAGCAAAAATATTTTTAATGAATTTATAATTAAAATTAATATATAATAGATTGAATATCATAAATATACTATTTAATATGATCTTATTAAAAATATGATAACTAATTAATCATGTTTGTCTCAAAATGATGATAAGATCTGCATTTTTTATACAACAAGGGTAGGATGGTGCGAGAGTACTTCCTTATATCACTTCAAGATGAGTAAAAGACCTATCAAATATACAACTCTCCTTCGCCTATTGGTTGAGAGCTTAGGCTTCCAACTAAAAGGTTCAGGGTTCAAGTCTATGTGTATGCGTTGTGTGTGTGAGTCTGCCTTAAATGGCCTAAATGTCCAAAAAAAAAAAGACCTATCAAATTCATAAAATAAGACAAACTTTAGATTGTTTATTCTACTCCATCTTCTATCTTCTAAGGGGCAAATTATTTTGTGTGAATGCCGTCCAGATGTTAATCAGAATGCACCACATCACCCCCACTCGGTATCGTGCTCGGCACTGTTGGCGTGACGTATTTTGATTGATCTCCGGACAATAAATTGCATACGTCGTCGGCATAAAATAACTTCTCCTATGGACAACAAAGTTTTGTTGCTCGCACCTTCATAGATATATAAATTATAAAATCTTTACCTAATTTTTCAGCATAAAAATTTCAAAAATTCAATTGAAATTTTAATACTAAAATTTTTTTTTTTAAAAGAAAATAAGATAGTTATCCCAAATAAAGTCTAGGGCTTCGTCGGAGATTGGCTTTCTTACTGCTACTTAACCCACTTTTTTAATACAACAATTTTAATTTTTGTATTAAAAATTTTTCTTTAGAAAGCAGTAAGAAAGTTCTCCCAAATAAAGCCTAAGACTTCATTTGAGATGGCTTTTTTATCACGAGTAATTATTGTGTCCGGACACCGAACGCATCCAGAGACCAATAACAAAGCGTCATATCACTTAGGCACTCGGTACCGTACTCGATACAGCACTCAGTACCGCTCGGTATTCTCGATATTTTATCCGGACATAATAATCTTTCCTCTTTCACGTTGCTGCTCTCCTCATACTAAAAAACCAAAGACAGCCTAAAGAAAAAGCAGTCATGCTAAGTTTTTGGCCCACTGCCCTACCGCACCGCAGAATCAGTTAAAATAAATATTCACATATTCCTCTTCCCCACCTCTTCTGATGTGAATATAATCAATACTACCACCTCTCATGTGACTGTTATCAGTCAAGAAGTCTTAAAAACAAAAAGGGCATAAATACAAGAGGATAAAGCTAGAGAAAAAGCAAAATCAAAGGAAGAACAAACAAGACCAGCCCTCACAAAAACAACCGTCGGTGCAATGCCATTGAAAAAAGCAAAAAGCAACTCTCGTTGGTCTATATTATGCATGGGATTATTTCTTATAAATGGTGGTTGCATCAGCCTAGAGATTTGTGCAATCATAAGATTATCATGATGGTTTCTCATAAAAGGGTCAACCGACCACCTTTCATAAAGAATTTTAAGCCATAGATGGGAGAAATTATTCTATGCGGAGTCCATATGGGAAGAACAGTTCAAACATGCGAGTGTACACACTATGTATACATTTATACACAGTGAGTATAAGTGTACACACTATGTGTACGCTCACAGTCTGGATGATTCTTCCCGTCCGGAATCCAACAAAAATAACATTAAGCCTTTATCCCACTACATGGGGTCGGCTACATGAATCCTTTTTCGCCATTGTGTCCGGACTCCGCACATAATAATTTTCCCATAAATGATGTGTCAGTGGCAAATCTCATGACACAATTGATGGTCAGAAACGATACAGTTCTACATTTAAACTGACTTTTGTAAAATTTCCAGCTCTTATTCAGCAAAGAAAGGGAGTCTATAAGTGACAGCAATGAAGCTTCCATCAAACGTACTGAAATCAGATATAAAATAAACAGATCAAACTTCATTCAGCCCAGTAACAAAGCATTAAGCTAGCAAACAAGAAATTGAGAGTTCAAAGTCCAGTATTGTCAACAATCTCATGATAGTAGCCATTCGCACAGGTTTTCATGTAAATCTAGCAATATGATATAACAATTATCTGGAAAAGCAACTAGTTGGATTTTGTTCAAGTATCATATCAGACCAGACATACATCAACAAGAGAAAGTTGGGTATTGTAGAACCATCGGGCAAAAAAAATAGGATCACGTTTGAATTTAGAATCCACCTGGTGTATGCTTTAGAGTTCAGAGCCACGTTGTAATTGTAGTGTCCATTAGCAATATGCAGTAACAACATTCAGAGCCACTTTGTAATCCTAAGACGGATGAAAGTAGACTTCGAGTAAGATACTCTTTGTCTTCAGCTCCTCAGTCTCGGATTCATCGTACCTGGATACCTAAATGAAAAAGAAAACTCTTCCCTCGAGGGGGAGGTTATTCTTTTCCCCTTTGGGTATTGAAATGATCCAAATTTGAGCTTCCAAATGGAAAAAGGACTTTTCCTCTAAGGAGTATCTTTTCTTCTTTGGAATCCAAATTTGGATAATTGTATCACAACCTTCAATGTCTCTTCACTCTTGGGAGTATGTTCAACTTCATCTAGAATGCAAAGTTTAGTCTCTCTTTGTGCTTTTTGAGCAATGAAGACAAAAACTTCTCATAATTCCATCTTAAACCAATAGTATCTACAATTGGAATAGCAAAAAAAATGCATGACTGGGTAGTAATTTGCCAGCTCCATCTCTGATCGTATCAATTTTCTGAACTCTATGAAAATTACCATGTAAATTTTACAGCTTCACTGGATGCACCCTGCAACTCGTCAACAGTAAGATGATTCAGAACCATGCCTGGCTTGGCGATAGATGAATTGTTCGTCATAGTTATCTAATCATCCAAGATAGAAAAGAAATTGGATCCCTGAGAGACCTAAAAAATGTCAGGGTTAATGACGTAGAATACTTCGGAGAAAAGTCATCTCTAAATTTGCAGCGGTGACTGCAAGACCTCCAATTTCCAGAAATGGTTTGTCAAGACTTGCAAGTTCACAGCTGAAGCTTATTGGCAATATCCCGTCACAAATCGTCTTACTCCAGCAAAGTCCGCCACTATTCTCATATCATGGAAGGTATTGCTCCCCTGTGAGCTTATGAAATCTACAATGTACTCAGATTGTTTATCACCATTGGTCTGCCATAATAAAAGATGAATTCCATAGTGAGAGATAAAGAGACTAGATCTCCTGAAAAACACTAAAAAGAAAAGCTAGAATTGAGTTTAGGTTTTGTTTGGGATGACTTTCTTACTGCTTCTTAAAGCAGCCTTTTAGTAGAAAAATTAATTTTTTTACTAAAAAATTGCTTTAAGAAGCATTAAAAAAGCTATCCCAAACGAAGTCTTATTCACCCAAATTAATCATCACCGTCACGTTGAGCAAGATGAAATGTGAGATGTAGAATATCACCATTCTTAAAATCAACATTAAAAACAAAATTATAGCATCCATGTCCAAAGAAGAAATGTGGGATGTAGCGTATCACCATTCTCAAAATCAACATGAAAAACAAAATAATAGCATCCATGTCCAACTATATTTAAAAGAATATACAGGGCAATATTCATGTGATGCTTGAATAATGATTTGAAAGGAAGTTTTTTAATATCAGATTAAGATATGTAAAATAAAGCATATACTTAAATTATTCCAATAGTTATGTTCGTGTGGAGTCCGAGAATGAATCTCTCATAGAAATTGATAATGCACGTGTGAGTGAATCTACATCCACATAGATTATAGTTATTTTGGGGCCACTTCATATGCTAATAAAGGAGGATCCACAATTGATAGAACTACTTTCATATTTTGTATTAATCCTTAATATCAAGTTCATGCTTTCTCTTCCACCACAAGTAAACTATCTCGAGATTGCATCCTTCATTCCAAATCAAGCTTTGTTCCTAGTTGCACTTTATCTTGAATTTTCAGTCCTTTCCATACTCATTTTTATATTGAGTTTGTGCTACTACCACCACCATATACTATAACAAAGTTTGAATGAATGATTTCCGACAATCTTCACTAAAACCTCCAGAAGTATGCCTTGAGCTACCTGCATCTTCTCCAGTTGATTATAGAGTTGTGCATGAACTAATTCCACTTCCACCACCATGCCCACCTTCCAACTATTTGGAGAAGAGTTTCTTTAGGCATTGGTAAATGATTGAGTACAAATAAGGTCATCAGAATTCTCTTCAATATTAGTTTATAAGCACAAGTTCATTTAATTTTACCATGTTTTAAATATTTCATATAAATGTATAAGGGCTCATAATTCCTTGTAGAATAGTTAATGAATTATTGGGAAAGTATTACAAGGCATACATATGAAATAAGGGCACGTGATTAATTTTCTTAATAGTTAATGCCCTATTAGGAAAGTATGTAAGCCTAAGTCTATATAAAGGATTCATGTCTTGTATTGAGAAATCTAATAATAAATGAAATATTGATTTTTTGTTATTCTCATATTCTTCTTCTCTTCTTTCCAAGTAGATCCGATTATATCTTCTGCTCTTCCCCCGATTCCCTTCTTTCAATAGATGTCACCTGCCTTCTTGTTCGTATTACATCAGTAGGGTTCACTGGGTTGAAGTTTATTAGGTTTTAAATATTGATCATAAATAAAGTCTTTTGTAATGGATGCGAAATACTTTAATTCTAAATATGAAACTAAATAAAAAACATTGCAATTGTGTCTCTCTGATTTGATTATTTCTCTTTTCCTAACTATATTATTCCATGTCCTTATCTTTTTCATATTCATTAACTATTTAATTATCATTCTCTATTCAAATTAATCCCTATCAAGCCATCATCTGAATCTATAAGAGAGAGCCTCCACACAAATGTCCTATATGGCGACATCTAATATAATAATAAATGCAAGTTTTTCACATCAATTGAATATTGTATGGTATGATACCTGTAATCTTCTCAAATTTAAGAATTAAGGTGCTATACATGAGTTCTTCATCTTTGCTCTTCATAATTTTACTTTATAAGTATCTATCGTTTCCTCCCACCAAGTGAGAGAAACTTTTCTTGAGAAATCGGTATCACTCATTAAGTGCCTTACACTTCACACATGTTGAATTCTCATCCACAAGCTTGTTCTCTCTTTCTCTCAAACAAACCTTCCAACCCTCTTCTAATAAACTTCTCTTTGATTTCTAACACAAAATAAATCCTAACATCACAACCTAAATAAACCTACACAAATTTAAATCCATAATCTCTCCTAACAAGCTTAAAACCACCCATAAGTCATAATAAATGTGTAAACGAACATCGTACACCACACACAACTCACATTCAAAACCCATACAAACTTAAAATGGACTTAACCATGCTCATACAACCAACTGGCCATTCAAATTATTTCCAGTGAAATTGTTAAATAAAACAGTAACTATCCTATCCCTATCCCTTACTTCCTAGCACATATATCGAATTCTGTCTCCTTCCAGTTCATTATATGGAGGCTCCCTTCCATTAAAAAGGGACAAGAGAAGAGAGAATAAAATGAAAAGAAGAGCTTATGAAATATTCAATAGATCAGCTTCCTACTAAACTAACTGACCTCTTCCATTTGCAAAAATCTTTCTTGCTATTGTTTGTTATTTCTTCTATTCAAGGGTTAAAGATTTGCAGCCAATTCCAGGTCAAAGTAATGGATGCGTTCTATGATTATAGTACTTGAACTCAATTAACAATTTTTTATTAAATTGTGTTGAATGATAAATTTTGTACAAATTTTCGAACTAAGCTTAAGAAGAAACATTGAATATATTTCCACACTGAAATTATAATCAATTTTCTATAATTATCCATATTATGTTACCAATCGCATTATATCATTAGAACATAACTAAATTTACTATTTTCTTATAACTTTAAGAACGGAGTTGATGACTTAAGAAATGTATGCATCTTACCTATTTAGACAACTTTTTAACATATCCATGTCATAACACAATCGTTACAACTCCTAGTAAGATCCATCTTTGGCATGCTGATATATCATATTTTCATTGCATACAATTAGTACTCATTATTTCATCTATGATCAATAAGGTAGATTCTTGATACATCTTGAAACATCACACTACTACTTTTTTATCCAACCAAAAATGTTTTTAGGGTAGATCATTTTGATAGATTTTTTTTTTTATTTGAAACCAAACTTAATAATTCAATTAAGTATATGATTAGACTAGCCTAGATTTAACCTCAATTTTGTAAGAGTATTCTGCTTATTCAAGCAATCATTATGTTGTCATCATTGCAAGAGCACCATAATGACTCGTATCTTTTGAAGGCCCCCATACATATTCCATATTTTGTATCTTTGCAAGAGCAATTGATTGAGAAAGGTTACATAGATAGCATTCAACTAAGATAAAAAAACATGAAGACGGGCAATCACAAAACAATAACGCTTTAACAAGCCTTCTCTATCTATGCCAGGCAATGATACAAAAGCGACATGTATCTAAGACATAATAAACTATCTTTCTTGCTTTTTTATTTAAATCGATATTAAACCTATTCGAAACCTAACTCAACATCTCTTACACATATTACAAAGCAATGGGTCATACAAAATTTTCATATAAGAAAGCTTGATTGTATTTGGGTACTTTGATAGATTTAACGAGTTCATCACCATGTTTGCTCCACTTGAAGCTTCATTCCCGCCATATTTAGATTGATTGTTGATCTTAGGTAAAAGACAAGCCATCCAACAACAAGTGAAATTATTCCAATACATTAGATGACAGCCACCATAAAGTATCTCAAGTATCCTCCTACTAGACCAGTTCATCATTACCAAGTACTTCTAGGCTCTAGCATAATAAATTTGATATCTATAATCCACATCCTACCAATAACCTTTTTGTTAGTAGAACACAAGCATTATTACCATCCAAAGTCATTCCTAAATCTATTGAGTATATTATAGTTCATAACCTGCTTTTGATGATAATTCAGACCAAGAAGATAATCACATGTAGAATGAATCTGCATCTTACATTGAATATGAGCCTAAATCTAAGTTTGCAATAAAACGTAATGAGCGTATGCAAAATCTGAGCATCAGCCTTAAGCAAAATCTATGTTTGAAGTCATGTTGAATCTAAACCTGAGTTCGAGCATGAGTCTGATTTTAAGAAATTCATACATGTCGAAGATGTTTTTTTTTTTTTTAAACATGTTGGAGATGCTTGTTTTACTTAAACCACTTGTAGTTTGACTCCAAGTTTTGACAATTTGAAATTCCTCATATACGCGAAAGTTTGTCACAAATTGATTTTGATATTGTTTCTCAATTTCGTAACTTTTTAACTCATAGGAAGTTAGGTTAAGTTGCATATTACTGGAGACGTTTCAAATAACTTGCTTGGTTAAAGCATATGTCTTAACATAATCATGATCTTGTTGCGCCACTACTCTAAAAGTTTTTCTTCACCAAATATGCCTACCATAGTTGAATCAAAACCATCTATAAGGGGCAAGTTATTATACAATGAACATTATAAAATTATATGATATTATCACCAAGAAAGCTTGTAGGTTTCTCTTCATAACAACAATATTCAAATTCAATTGCATTGCTCATTAAACATTTCCATCTTATTTGCTTAATTTAAGAAACTATTCTATATATATTGATGATGTTATAACTATAGTACACATTCTTTTTTTTTTTTTTTTTTTTTTGAAGAAATGCATCCAAATTGCATTAAGAAACAAAGAAACTAATTACAATTGCTAATGGAATCACATTCCTCCTTGATTGAATTCAATAACAAGGAAGGAATGTTGCTAAAAGAAAGGCTATCAAAAAAGAAAATACTATCTAGAGCCATAGTAGCACACAAATTGGCTACTTTATTACAATTCCTATGGACATGTTGAAAAACAACTTTATGGAAATCATTAAGAAACAATAATTCCTTTACCGGCCACCTATCAATAAGCCACTTATTCTTCTTTAAAGAATCTTGGATGAAAGTAATAATATTGAGGTTGTCACTCTCAATTATTACCCCTTTGTATTCAAGCATCCAACTCCTAATGTATTCCCTTACCGAGAAAACAGCCTCCAACTCAAGCTGAGCAATGTCCC